AACGGCCATAAAAATTATTTATATTAAGGATGTCTCCAAAGGTCAACGAAGTTTTCGCAGAAAAATAATATCAGAAATCGCGGCTGCGGTTTGATGCGCTGTTCCGCGTCGAAACCAAGCTTTAGCAACGGGCGTAGTCGAACGGTACACACTCAGTAAGCAATCCTACAATTTTTTGTTTATAACGTAGTTTATACGGATTATTTTCAAAAAAATATACGTATTTTGGAAATGTTGAGTCGAATTAGTCTAGAATCGATTAATTTTATGAAAGAAAACCTTTCAAACAGCCGTAGTCCGTAAACTATGATTCCTACAAAATTGATTCATAAAGAACGGAACGTATCTACCGTCTTATAGGGGGATCTACTGTATATATAGATGTAAGACTGTTTGAATTTATTTTTTCCTTATTTGTTTAATGAGACAATTGGCTTTGCAATCTATTAACATACATAGACATCGTAGGAGGTGGTGAGGGCCACACTCATAGGTATAGCCCCGGAACCAGAAATGGAAGAAAGAAGTAAAGTTTGTATAAGAAGAGGGTAAGGTGAAGGTGAAAAGAAGTGAGATAGGATAGTTGAAAGATGTTGAGGGATCCATGGGTGCCTGCATCGCATTTAATTGACAGAAGGTCGAGCGGTTAAGGCAGCAGCATACCACTCTGGAAGATCTGGGAACCAGATGGTCCTGTCCCTCACCACCTGTCTGCATTTGTATAGTTATGCTCTGAAAGTATCATCTATATGTATGTTAAGTGCTGTGTTTATAGAAATAATGTATTAAATTTAAAGGTTATTTATGCTGACTGGGTTATAATCTCCATCGCCACAGCTTAATTAAGTTATGATAATGAACATTAATACATTATATGAGGTAATATTTGATACATTGCTAGACAGAAAAATCTCAATAACTTTTTAGTTTATGCATCAACATCATAAATTTCGATATTCTACATTAACTTTTTCATTTAAATTGAATTTACACCAAAGAAATTATATAAAAGATTAACATTTTACAAATGAACTTACTTGTCATGTCGTTTTAAACAATGTACTAAAATGGGCAAAATCCCTGAGTTGATTAAATCATCAATGGGAGGATTACGATCACTGGAAAGTAATTTTCTATGCAATAATAAAGATTTTGATTAGTACATTTTTTCAAATTCAAAATACATCTAGTTAAGTAAAGAGAACAGTTTACGACTGCACAATTACCTTGCAGCTTGAACTGCATTTAGCTGAACTCCTGGATCATTGCTGCTAGCATTTTGTACAATCATTTCAAGGTTTGTATGATTGATACTCCTGTCTGTCTCATCTTCATCTGTAGAGTCTGTTTGAGGAACATTTCTTCTTTTCAGAAGAGATTCGTCCCTTTTGTTTTTACGTAGTTCTATTGTGACTTCATTTCTGCGTCTTCTCATTTCCTGTTAAATGAACATTCTAATTAGTCAGTAGAAATACTGTTTTAATATAATTTTAACATTATTAATAGGCTTTGTATCATTGAAAATTTTTTAAATTCTCTAAAACTAGATTCATACCATCATATAAAATGCTATGAACACTAATCAAAGCAAAATGTTCAGAATGTGATACAAATTGAGTTAAAACATGAATGGCTGAAAAGGTTTTGTTTACAAGATTAGTATCTTAAGAAAACAAAATTAATTAGTTAACAAACTGAAGTTCAGCAACAGTCAAGATATTTCTAACACCTAATGACATGATCAAACAGTTGCCAAAAGGAGAGGAACTGCCCCATTGGCCTTTCTGTTGTCAATCAAAACACTGATGAAAATTAATATGAAATGTCTGCTAGAATTTATATATATATATCAAAGGAAAATTTAATGCCCTCAGTATCGTCTAAACCAGGGGTGTCCAACCTTTTTGTTTCTCTGGGCCACATTGGAAGAAGTCATGGAGTTTTGGGCCACAAGTATATTATATATACTTGTGGCCCAAGTATATTTTGGCTCAATCCTTAAATATACAAGTATATTTAAGGATTAACATGTCTAGATTATAGTAATAAGTATTAAAACTTTATTATAAAAAAGGTTATTTTAAAAAATTACTTCTACAGACATTTTCAGTTTTTACTTAGAAATAGATAAATTCATTTATTATAAAAGAAACAAACGAAAATTTATTTGAAAAACACAAATATTTGTTTTATTTGGGTCTCTAATTAATAAAAAACAACGAAACACCATTTTAAAGTGCATTTTTATTCAAATAATATATTTATAAATAAGATGTAGCCCAAAAAGTAGCCAATGTGCCAAATAATATTTTTATGCCAAACTAATAAAAGGGTACCCAAATTTGGCACAAAGTAGACAAATCTTGCAGCACTGTAAGGAATACTAAATAAAGCTGGAGTTGAGACTCAAAGGAGTATAGACTCAAATTCAGGGAAAGGAGAGAAAGGCCAAAAGATAAAAAATAATGAGAATGATTGGAAAATTAAGGGTCAATATTTGCATAACAGAAGGTCTGTTTAACCTTTCTCACTACTTTTTATCTTTTAGCCTTTCTCTCCTTTCCCGAAATTTGAGTACACTCCTTTGAGTCACAACTCCAGCTTTATTTAGTATATCTTCCTCATTTCCAAGTATTTGAAAATATTTCCTTTCCACTCAAAAATAAATTAGGTATAAAGGTTTATGGCTTCGTGAAACTTCTTTTTTGAGTTTATGCCGTTGAAAAAATAAATAAATAAATTTGTTGGTTTTGTTTACACATTTATTGGGCCACATTGGAACTTGCCTTGGGCCGCGGGTGGACACCCCTGGTCTAAACCTTAACAACAACAGTGACATCACTGGTAAGACAAAACCTATGTAAACAGTGACACCCTTTGAATATCTACCAACAGACGTTCTAGCAAACCACAGAGTACCTGAAGAAGGCCTATTAAGAAGGGTGAAAACATTTGTAATCAGTGTTTAAACAGCTAGAAGCAAAGTGAGAAAGATTTTATCTTAGTCATTTTAAATAGTTCTAGCTCCAAATGCATAGAAAATTAGTATATTTTATTGAAATTCTGTATTGCTAAATTTATTACATTACACTCCCGTTTATCGCTGTTCATTTTCTAACCTTAGCTTTTAACGATGTAATAAAAAAGAATCAAAACAGTTTGGTTCTAGAAGGGATTAAATCAATTCAATCAAAGAAATGTAATTGGCTGACTTTATACTGAGAATTGCTGAAAAATGGAAAATCATTAAACATTTCTCTGCAACAGAATTCCAAGGCATACATTATAAAGCATCATTTCAAGGTAAAGCAAAAGAAACCAGCAAAATGAAAAACAGAAAATGGTTGAAAGAGAAGGAAAATAATTGAAGAGAATCCAATTGAAGGAAAAAGCATTGGGAAAATTTATACACCTAGAAAATTGGGAAGAAAGTTCAAAATTTCACATACACACATTCACCAGATTCTTCAAGAATGTCAAGTGAGTTCAAGAAGCAAAAAAATCTGTTCCAAAATACACAATGGATAAATAAATAAATAAATACTGTACTATTTTCTGAAACCAAACAAATTGTTTTTAATCAGAAATGTTTTCAATCTTTTATAAGAACATCTTCAGCAGAAACTCTCTTTTCAATAATTGAACATTAAATTAAATAAATTACATAAAAATAAATAAATTTTTTTAAAATCTATAAAATCCTTTAACATAAATAATAAATAAATAAATTAATTAATTAATTAAATTTAATAGTACATACAAAGATTGAATAATGAAGAGCTGCTGAAGATGTTCTTATAAAACAACAAAAACATTTCCAATTAAAAACAATTTGGTTCCTGAAAACAGCATTTATTTATTTAATATGGTACCAAGTTTGGATGTATTTTCTGTTGATACACAATAGTGCACTTGTACTCAAAAATTCTTCTGTGGAAGCTGCATGATGGAGTATTGAAAGCATCAAGCAATCTTTATGTGGTTATGAACAACAAGTTCTATTTCACTTTTGATGAAGTGAATATTCCAGTAATAATCACCATAGATCTGCTATTTTTAATAATTAATACTAAGTAATTTGCTACTAGAGATTGATGTTAGGTGCCATCTCTTATTTAAATTATAATTATTAATTTAGATAATTTATTAAATAATTTCAAATCTTCTGGAAGAAATGAACTGTCCTGGGCCAGGACTTGAACACACAACCACAACTTATTGTGGAGTGCCCTTGCCAGTTGCAAGTGGTGTAACTAGAAAGCATACTACAACTGATTTTGTGTTACAGTCATGGCTTTGCTGACAAAATCATACAAGAAATTAGTCTTAGCCCTAATTCAAACTAGGGCTAAATGGGACTTTTTGATGGACTGTAAGAATAATAATGTGTTTCTTATGTCCATCTTCCGTAATTGATTACCCATGGAATGTGAAACACTACTGAGGACATTAAAATTTCTGTGTCTACAAAACGCGATTAGAAACACCAGACACTTAATGTACACCAAACTTACAAAACTTATTAACTTTGAGAGATCTATATATTAAGAATCATGAGATGCTGTTTGAAGTCAATAGTAGTTATAAACCTACAAAACCAAGTTTCAACTACTTTGCATAAAAATACATTAAGAATAACATCTTAATGTATTTTTTATTAGATGGATTCTGCAAATTCAAGTCCCAAAGCACACTCAAAATACAGGGAATCTTTTCATTTGTTAGGATGGTATTTCCTCTTCAAATTTTTTGTAGAAAGTAGTGAAGAAAGGTCCCATGTATGCACCCCACAATGTTTATATCTGACCTGGATATGTGTTACCAAACATCAAGAAATTAGTTTCTCAGATGGAAGAAACACACACACACACACACAAAATTCTTCAGGTAGAAGATAGTCTTCAAGGTACAAAACATTAGGAACAAACCACAGGATATGCAATTTTGGCAGAATGCTGATGCTAGTAAAAAATGGCTCTTGGAGAATGGAGTAATCATACTAAAAGCCAATAAAAACAGATCTATACTGCTAATGAAGAAATTCATTTATCTGGCTCAGGTGGATGAGTATGTCACTGCAATGAAATGCACCAAGGTAAATAAAGATTATGTTAACAGCCTACAACAATGGGCGGTTAGATTCATACACACAAGGCTAACTAAGATTTTAAAATTTGATAAAGTGATAGTTACATCTCCTGATACCCCCTAAACTATGGTATTTCCTCTTCAAAAAGCTTTTGCAAAAACCTACAAGCCATGAAAACAGCTAAGACTGATAGTAAAGTTCATTCACCCACCCATTCATTAGAAAAAGGGCATTCATTAAAAATTAGATACATTATGGCTCATCACTTGAAAGATTATGAATATACCACCATTGATACACACAGGTTGATGGGTAGATTGAATGAGCTTTCATTAATTGACAATGAACACATTACAGTTTTAGATTTCATGTCACTATAAAAACTGATCTATATACAACCTTGTTTCTGGTTAATGTGTGATTTTTTATTTGAGAATACAGAAGCGGCCATCCAACACCATAATTGGATTCTAGAGCTTGCACACCTATTATGTTACATGTCCTTTCAGTTATAATAATAACATTTTCCTACAACAATGCACTGTACCAATAGGTAACAATGCCCTCTGTCTGGTGACCTATGTGAACTAGTAATACAGGCTCTAGAGAAGGTCTTACTTGAACTCCTACCAAACATCAGACTATACACCAGATACATAGATGATATTGTGATAATTTGAAAAATAAAACCAGATATAGAAAAGCTTCTAGATCGATTTAACATCAATCCATATGGACTAACATTAAAATTTTATCAATAGAGTAATTCATCACACATTTTTTTAACCTAAATATTAGTTTCAACAAAAGATGCATTACTGCTAGCATTTACTATAAAACAAGAGTATCTTCCATTTTAATTCATATGCCTCTATGTCCTTATTTTCTATAATTTGTTAAAATGTTTGTCTACGAGAACTAAGCTTATTAACAGGACTAATAGGACATATTGCACTGGTGCTGTGGTTTTTTGCAACCAAGGAAAAAACTTATTCCTTGCAAAAAACCATAACACCAGTGCAATATGTCCTATTAGTCCTCTTAATAAGCTTTTTAGTCCTCAAAGACAAACATTTAACAAATTGCAGAGTATCTTCCATTCTTTATACCAGTGTGTTCCAATGACCCATTCTCATACAAAATAGCAGCATTTAAGTCGTTAGTGAGATGGGCATTTATTAAATGCATTGCACTAATATGTTGGGCACAAATAAAGGACTGAAACACATTGAAAAAGTGGCAATTTCTCATGGTTACTCTAAAAACTGATGCATAATTTAGCACAAAATTACATCTGCAAAACAGAATTACAATCACAGCTTAAAAGCACTATACAAACACAACATATT